TCCTTGGTGTTTAGTGACATCCTGCTGTTTACTTAGACACAAAGTGTAGTTAGAAATGGGGTGAAACAAAAGTTTATACACATAATGGAAGCCTCTTGGATTGGTTGTGTATAGTTTTACAATGACCAGGTCAAAGACTAATGTAGGTTCTTTGTAGGATGTTTCTTTTTTTTTTTTTTGGAGCACATTATACCTGTTGAAAACATATTATAGCAGAGCTGCAAAAGAGTAGATTCAGGAGATTATTATTAAATAAAGAAGCCACAAAAGTCAGTGTGGGTTAATTGCCATAACTAGCTATTTATTAAAGCATTTACTAAAACCCTAAAGATGGAAAGAGAGTAGATTATCAAATCAAAAACAAATCAAATGAATCAACACACTAATACAAATGTGCCACGCAAACCATACCACCATCCAGAACTCCCAGGACTCCAAACTCACCGTGACTTCAGGCCACCACCAGCCCAACACTAGAAACAAAGGAGAAAGAATTAAAAACCTAAACTATATAAGACCAACTATACAAAAAAAAAACATAAAAACTAAAATACACAATGTTAAAATAATGCTTAAATAAACAGCAGTCAGTAACATTCAGTACTGTAAACAAACAGAACACTGTTACAAATATTGTCTGAGGTATAACTAATTTACAAAGCTACATTAAAACTTACATACCTCCTGCTGACAATTATTCACTTTTCCGTATTTTTACCTACAGTAGAGTTATGGCCATTGTTAAAATAAAATACACAGTGGTCCTGTATCTTATGTTGTCCTGTGGCTGTGGTTCCAACAGACCACCAGTTGTCCAGGATGCAAAGTATCTCACTCGCTGCTGTCAAGCAGCCCAGTCGTCATAATCTTCAGTGCCCACTCGTCAGTTGTCATTGACTCAGGCTGTTCTTTAACAGTTAATAAACAGTCAATGGGCAAACATGGCTCTTGGCCAAACATTAATAAGTATGCTGAGTGCCTGGTGGCTTGGTGTGTTGTGGTATTATAAGCAAATAGTCCTTGGGGTAAGTGCACTGTCTATTGGCTTTTCTTAATCTAATGTAATGTAATGTGCGGAGAATTTCATGGAGGGTTCTGTTATATCGTTCACATTGACCATTGCCTTGAGGTCTGTATGGTATTCTAGCTTTTATTATTATATAGTATTGTACATACTACACAGCTGTTGTATTACCTTTGCCTCAAAACAGCATCCTTGATCAGAATGTGGGTTCACACAGTTCCCAGTTAAATTGGCAGGCATATAAAAAGCTGCTTAGCCTGTTTTTTTTACATCTGTGTTGACCTGAATGTACCTAAGGCAGAGATTAAATTTCCGTTGTTCTTGTTCTGTTTTTGAGAAGGTGTCAAAAAAGGGAGTGGCTGCTCAATCAAGGACAACAGTCCACTGGCATAATATCCAGTTAATCTGGTGAGGGACGAGAGCTGGGGTCAAATCTGAATGTGGCTTTCCGCCTAAAAAGGTGGAATTGAGATAGAATTTAGCCCTTCAATTTGAAAAAAATATCACAACAATCTGCTTTTACTTTGTGTGATGAATCTTCATGACAACTATCAGTATAATCCATTAGGACAGCCCTATACTGTATTCCATAAAGGTTTTATATATATATATATATATATATATATACATATATATATGAGATTTAAAAAATGAATATAGCAACAAACGGCATAATAAAAGCATCCTGAGCAGACAATAACGTCACACTCTCTCTGACTGTGTAGCAGCTGTAGTATGGTTGCTCATTAGCTGAACCCCATTCAAGCAAGGAATCAGGATCTGCATCTATTTCCTCTAAGAGTAGCATGGGGCACAGTCATTATACATACACAGCGTGACAGGCTCTATACTGCTATGAATAAAATATGTGCACATAAAAAGTATGTATGTGCTTACGGTGGTTTAACAAGTGGAATCATTTAGAATCAGTGTCACAGTGAAAGCAAACACAGAAATAATTAATGAGTAAAGTTTATTTCCACTGAAACATTTTTTTTTTCACTAGATGTCTCATGATCTAGTTCACTAGATCATATCATATGCCTGCATGTCATCAAAAGAAAATAAGAGTGCACATTAAATAAATAAGGAGCTTATTTCAAAGTTGTTAGACTCATTCAGTGCAGTCCTTTCCATTTAAGTGCACAAAAACGTTACATATAACAACTAAACACCATAAGAGTAGCATGGGGCACAGTCAATACACACACAGTGAGAGGCTCTCTCAGTGCCCCGCAGCAAGTCAGAAAATATGTTAATGAGGAAAAATTGCAGACAGGTGACAGAGTTGTTAAGCAAAACTCAGGAACGCGTTAGTAACAACAATCTATTTACATTTTTGGGTGAATTCAATATATAAGAGTAGTCTTACATGTCACTGT